GATAAATTCAAATGTGATTAAAATCTTTTAATTTCATATGACATTTAACATAGGTCTGATCTTGATGATATAAATTAAGAAGTCATTTAAGAATTTTTAGTGAAGAAAGCATTTCTAACATAAATTTAATTTTTTGTTTTCTAATATACAAAGCTTGACAAATAGTAACTAATCAATCATTTAGAAATAAAAAAATTGTTTTCCAATTTATTCTTAGTAACTGATATTTTGAAAAGTATAATAAATGAATAATATTATTGAAATATATTAATTGAAGAAGAACTTTGATGATTTGTTAAGAAGAATGAAGTATAGGCATACAAAATAGAAGAGTATTATCTGAGATCCAAATACTGCAATATAGAATAATAAAGTAGATCAATCTGATTTAGTGAGTTAATCAACTATATTATCTTTGGAATATATTTTAACTTTAATAAATATGAGAATAAATTATTTCGATTGAATTAATTTGAAAAGGCAAACCATAATAGGTAATAAGAAATTTTAAAAGTAGGATTAAGAGTTAGAGAAAATGAATGAAATTGTATTTTGGTGAAATCTAAAATAATAAAAGAGAAATTTTTGAATAAAATAATTTTAGCATTTTAAAGAGAGATAAAAATAATAACAATAATTGCAGTTAATTTAGTTAAGGTAGAAGATCAATTATATAAGTAAATGGAAGTATTAAGTGAAATCAAGGATCATTGAAAGTTGGTTTACAGCTAAATTATTTCTATCCTAATGGTCAAAATACCCAAATTTTTGAGAGATTCATTTGTAGAAGATAATATAAAAGTTACATTAATAAAAAGTAAAGCTAAATTAATTAATTTAGAAGCAATTGCTTGATTAAAGATAAATAGAATATCAGATGAATCTATTGAAGGTTATGAAGAGAAAAAGTAATTATTTGTAAAATTCAAAAGATTTAAAATCATTTTATAAATCATAAAATGGAGATAAGGAATATAAGCATCTAATATTATTGTCAGTTTTCATTCAAAATTCATAACATAAATTGATTAGAATTTTAAAGTAGCATAAGAAACATCTTTAAAATATTTCTTTTTTTATAAAGTTATTTGATTATTAAGTAAACAATTAAAGTAGGAGTCTAGAATTATTTTAAATTGATCATCTATAATTATGGTATAGTATTAAAGATAAACAGTATCATTATCAATAAGGAGAATTTTATCAATAGTCAAGTTATTAATAATAGGTGATCAAATAACTGCGTAGTTAATACATTTGATATTATCTTTTAAGGTAACATAATCAATATAATAAGAATGTTTTTTTGTAGATGAATTCAAATGATATGTGTTTGATAATTAGCAAGCGTAATAGATTCTATATTATTATACAATTTTGATTAATTACGTATTCAGGTATATTATAAATTAGAAGAGATATTTTGAAATAGAAGCAAATATATTCTATTTGATATAGTTATTTATAACAAAAATATCAAATTGATTCTTTTAAAATGTAGAATTTTTTTTATATACATAAGGGTTAATTAAATCTATCTTATATAATATTTAAACAACTAATAATAGTATTGAAGAACAAATTAAATTATTTCATCAATGATATAGTTGAGGACCACCAATTCTTAATAGGAGATAACGTTGAAAAAAGCTAAGAGTAAATGGTGAAGAAAGCCATTCACTGTATTAAAGTTGAAGAGTAATGATTATTATTATTATACAAAAAAATTCTTAATCTTTCGATGATTTAGTATTTTAGCTTGTAATTATTAGTCAAAAATAAGTTAAATTATAAATTTTGGCAAAATAAATCATAGCTTAAGATGTGCTAATTAATAAATTTAAGGCTATCTTGAACATTTTCCTAAAAGTATCTATAACACTTTTATAAAAGTTAGAGATAATATAAGTGATATCGTATGAATCACGTATGAAGGTTGGTTGACATTCTAAATGGCTTCGAATAATATTTTTAAGGCTTTCAACAAATTTTTACATTTACAGACGATAAATATTATTTATTACTACTGCAAATTGTTAAAATTAAATTCCGTTATCAGTAAAGACACATTTCATCAATAAAAAAAATCTGTTCCAATAATTATAATGTTCCGCAAGTTTTTAGTATTGAAATTTTAAACAATACAATTAATTTCCTTGGTATAATAATACTACAACATATAGTTAGATTCACGATTATTCTAATTTCAGTCTTTCTAAGTGTTATATGTGAATATACGTATATGACTGATTTTTGATAACTTTTTGATAATTCATTTCAATCATTTACTATCCCAATCATGGTTATAGTTTTCATTGCCATCTAAAAAGCAAATGTTAATTTTTAAATTTAGTCAAATACTTACTATTGCATTTTTACGAGAAATAAACCCTTAAAAACTATTTGATTAATATATGATTTGTTTTATTTAATGAGAAGTAAATTTGTTTTGTTCTTATTAACATGATAACGTGATAGTACACAAAATGATTCAGAAAAAAATTATTCAAGTTCACAAGCCGGAAGGTGTCTATAAATGTATAAATGTATAGACACACGGCTAAATTATGATGAAATGATTGTCAATAAATCCGTGGAAGTATATAAAACAACCCCAAACATCTCATAATATTATTCCATTAATTTATAAAAACATGTTGACAGAAGAAATACAAGGTGGAATTAGAATTAGTATAGATAGAGGGGGAACCTTCACAGATTGTATCGGAAGCATTCCTGTTCCAGTGTCAGAAGAATATCCAACAGGACGAAAAGAAATTGTAATCAAATTATTAAGTGTTGATCCACAAAATTATCCCGATGCTCCTCGAGAAGGTATTAGAAGGATTTTGGAAATCGCCTCTGGAAAACCTTCTTCCAGAAATAAACCTGTGGATACTTCTCTTATAGGTAAATTATTTTAGAAAATTCTTTAAAATCTACCAATAAAAAAAAGAGCTGGTTTCACGAAATTTTAATAACCGGGTCAAAAAAAAAATTAAAAAAAAGTAATTACCTTTTTTTATATTACAAATGTTTATTTTAGAATCTATTCGCATGGGAACAACTGTCGCCACAAATGCCCTTTTGGAAAGAAAAGGAGAAAAATGTGCTCTTTTAATTACCAAAGGATTTAAGGTAAAAAATAATCGAAATTTAACCTTCTTTAATCTTTATTAATTTATTTACGATGATTTAACTTGTTTTATTTAAAAAATGTATTAAATATAGGATCTTTTACTAATTGGTATAAGTTATTGAATTACAATTGTATTTCAACAATTGCGATAACATAATAATAAATTATTATTTTACTAAATAGGCAATCAATCTCGTCCAAAAATTTTTGATCTTGCTATTCATAAACCTGATGTTTTGTATCAACGTGTTATTGAAATTGATGAACGGTATTTGTTTACTTTAGGTTTTTTCATTTATTAAATTAATATATTAATTAACTTAATATAACTTTTATTAAGGGTTTCTTTAATTGGTGATGGATTGAATCTTTCATCAGAGTTAACTAATAATATTTCTAAAGATATATTTCAAGGAATTTCTGGAGAATATATAAAAATACTTAATAAACCGGGTATTTAATAATTATATGAATTTATTATTCTTATAAAATAATTAGCTAATACATATAATTTATTTATCTTTAAGATTTAAATAAAATTAAAGAAGATTTACAATTTTTATATAATGATGGATTTAGAAGTATTGCAATTTGTTTAATTCATTCATATACTTATCCAGGTTTAAACTTGATTTAATTTATTGTATTTTAAATTATTATGAATTATTAATAATCTAATTTTTTTAAAAAAACATAAATAACAATAAGAACATGAACAACTTTTAGAAAAAGTTGCATTATCTATAGGATTTACACATATTTCATTATCATCTTCCTTAATGCCAATGATCAAAATGGTTCCTCGTGGAACCTCTTCTATAGCTGATGCATATTTAACACCATGTATTCATAAATATATTAATGGTTTTATTTCTGGTTTTGATGAAAATTTAAAAACAAATGTTAAATTAGAATTTATGCAAAGTGATGGTGGTCTTGTACCTGTTAATAAATTTTCTGGTTTTAAGGCTATATTATCAGGTCCAGCTGCTGGTGTTGTTGGTAAATTATATTAATTTATTATTTATAAATATTTATAATACTTAATTATTAAAAATATTTTATTTAGGTTATGCTTTAACTTCATATAATAAAGAAGAAAATATTCCAGTTATTGGATTTGATATGGGAGGAACAAGTACAGGTATATTTTATTAATAAAGTTTTATTTATTTTTTTATTGATATAAAATTTAAAATTTCTATTTAAGATGTATCAAGATATAATGGTCATTATGAGCATGTATTTGAAACAACAACAGCTGGTATAACAATTCAAGCTCCTCAATTAGATATTAATACAGTATTTATTTATTAATATATTTTATTAATAATTTTATTTTAAATATGATAATCTTTTATTTTTTAATATTTTATAAAATTTTATTTTTATTTATAGGTTGCTGCTGGTGGTGGATCATGTTTATTTTTTCGTAATGGAATGTTTGTTGTTGGTCCAGAAGTAATATATATATATATATTTATTTATTTTTATTTTTTTAATTTATAATAATTATTTTTTAATAATAATAAAATTTTTTTATTATATAAAGAGTGCTGGTGCACATCCTGGACCTACATGTTATAGGTTAATGAAGATAAATTTTAATTAAAACATTATTTATTATTTTATTTATATTCAGAATATTAATTCTTTAATTTTGATTTTATAATATAGAAAAAATGGACCTTTGACTGTTACAGATGCAAATCTTATTCTTGGTCGACTTATTTCAGATTATTTTCCAAAAATCTTTGGAATAAATGAAAATCAACCATTAGACTTAGAAGCTACAACTCAAAAATTTCAAGAATTGGCAAAAGAGATTAATATATATATGCATAATAATAATAATAAGCAAATGAGTGTAGATGAAATAGCATTTGGGTAAGTTTTTAAAATATTATTAATTTATTATATTTTGTTTAATAATTATTTTTCTGTTATTTTTTTTTTTTAAAAAAAAAATAAAATAGGTTTATAAAAGTTGCTAATGAAACTATGTGTCGACCAATTCGTATTTTAACAGAAGCTAAAGGTTATGATACATCAAATCATATTTTAGCATGTTTCGGTGGTGCTGGAGGACAACACGCATGTGCAATAGCTAGAAATTTGGGCATTCAAAAGATCTTAATTCATCGATATAGTTCAGTTTTATCAGCTTATGGGTTATCATTAGCTAATGTTGTTTATGAAGTGCAAGAACCTTGTGCTGAAATTTATTCTGAAGCATCTTTACCAAAGTTACAAGAAAGGATTCAAATTTTATGTAATACATGTACTGCAGAATTTAAATCGCAGGGGTTTAAGGATGAATCGCAAATCAAACATGAAATTTATTTAAATTTACGTTATCATGGAACCGATTTTGCCCTAATGATTTTAAAACCAATAGATTCTTGGAATTTTATAGATTCTTTTGTTCAACAATATCAACAAGAATTTGGTTTTACATTTTCTGATCGAAGCATTTATGTAGATGATATCAGAATTCGTGGAATAGCAAAAGGATTTAAAATTACTCAACATAGTGTTTTTGACGAAATCAAACAGATCAATCCAAAGTTAGTAGATCCTTCTCAAATCAAAGAGAAAACTTTGGTTTATTTTGAAAATGGAAGAGTTGAAACTCCGATATACCTTTTAGAACATCTTAAAATCGGTGATCAAATTCCTGGTCCTTCTATGATTATAGATGTAAATTCTACAATTATTGTAGCTCCCGAATGTAGTGCATTAATTACTTCTTCACATATAATGATTACTGTTGGAAGTGGTATTAGATCAAAGGTTTCAACTAAATTGGATCCCATTCAACTTGCAATATTTGGTCATCGGTTTATGAGTATTGCGGAACAAATGGGAAATACTTTACAAAAAACTTCTATTTCTACCAACATAAAAGAGAGACTGGATTTTTCTTGCGCCCTTTTTGGAGCTGATGGCAATTTAGTTGCAAATGGTATCTAATTATATTTAAAGGTTAAAAATCTTATCGTCGTTATTTACCTTAATTTATTTTCACTTTATATTAGCACCGCATATTCCTGTACATCTTGGAAGTTTAAGTCATACAGTAAAATATCAAATAAATTATTATAATGATAAATTGGAAGAAGGAGATGTTATTTTAACCAATCATCCACAAGCCGGTGGTTCACATTTACCAGGTAACTTTTTTTTAAGAAAATAAATTAATTTTTTTTTCTAAATTTATATTCTTTTATGTTTTATAGATATTACCGTGATTACACCTGTATTCAACGAAGGCAAGATTGTATTTTTTGTTGCATCTAGAGGACATCATGCGGATATCGGTGGAATTTTACCCGGTAAGGATCAATTTAGATATTGCTAATAAATATTCCATCATATTAATGGTAATTTTATGTCGATTTTAGGTTCGATGCCTCCAAATTCAAAAGAGTTGTATCAAGAAGGGGCTGCGATCAAATCATTTAAGCTTGTTTCTAAAGGAAAGTTTGATTATGATGGTTTAGTTGATATTCTTGTGAATCAACCTGCAAAATATCCTGGATGTAGTGGTACTAGATGTTTACGTGACAATGTTTCCGATTTAAAAGCTCAAGTGGCAGCCAATAATAAGGGTATCACACTTGTCAAAGCTCTTATTAAAGAATATGGGTTAGATGTTGTTTTGGCTTACATGATGTACATCAGAAAAAACGCCGAATTATCTGTGAGAGAATTGTTAAAAGAAGTTAGTCGCCGAATAGGTTGTACAGTATTGAAAGCCATTGATTATATGGATGATGGAAGCCCGATTCAATTAAAAATTACAATAGATGAGAAGGAGGGAACAGCCGAATTTGATTTTGGCGGTACCGGACCAGAGGTTTACGGTACGTTTTCCTTTTACATGTAACCCTCTTTTATTAAAATTATTAATTAAAATTCGTCTTCAACCTATAGCAAATTACAACGCTCCACCTTCGGTATTTGTTGTTAAATAAATTAAATTTTTCTTTTTTTTACATTCACTAATTGGATTATTACTCATAATAAAAATCCTTTTTATTTTTAAAAGGTCACATATAGTGCGATCATTTATTGTCTTCGGTCTCTTATTACAAATGACATACCTTTAAACCAAGGATGCCTTGCCCCAATTGATATCAAGATTCCAGAGAATTCGTTTTTAAATCCTTCCGATAAAGCTGCCGTCGTTGGTGGCAACGTATTAACTTCACAACGTCTTGTTGACGTGATTTTAAAAGCATTTCAAGCGTGTGCAGCCAGTCAAGGCGATTGTAATAACCTTACTTTTGGAAAAGACGGAAAAACTGAGGACGGAACCAAGATTATAGAAGGATGGGGTTATTATGAAACGATTGCGGGAGGTAGAATCTTTTTCTTTTTTGTTTTTTAAAAAAAAAAAGAATAAAGAAAATAAAAATTGTTAACTTATAGGTAGTGGGGCTGGACCCACATGGAATGGTCAAAGTGGTGTTCATACGGTATATTTATTTTTAAAACGTTAATAAATTGTAACTTTTAAAAAAGTGGATTTACTTCTTTAACTTTATTGATTTATTTTGTAGCATATGACCAATACTAGAATTACAGATCCGGAAATACTTGAAAAAAGATATGATCATTCAATACTACTTCGAGAATTTTCACTTCGAAGAGGTAAATTAACGCTTAAGTTTAAACATCAATGTCACATCTACAACATTTATTAATGTAATCCATTTATTTTAAAGGTTCCGGAGGTGCAGGACTTCATAAAGGAGGGGATGGAGTAATACGAGATATAGAGTTTCGAGAACCCCTTCAAGTGTGTATCCTTTCAGAAAGACGCGTTCACCATCCTTACGGATTACAAGGTGGTAAAGATGGGTCAAAAGGACTTAACTTGTGGATTCGTCGGAATGAAAATGGTAGTGAAGTTCGTACCATTAATTTAGGAGGTAAGAATACCATTAAAGTAAACGCAGGTGATCGTATTGTCATTTGTACACCTGGCGGTGGAGGATGGGGCATCCCAACTTATGAACAAGTTGATGAAGTTGACGAAGCTATTTTGAAATATTTGCAATAGACTTAAGATAGCCTAATAGTTTTGTTGTCATTAATATACAAAAACAAATAAATTAAAATTACCAACGATACAAGTTTACGTATGTTAAGAACAATTCGTTGGAAATTGATGCGATAAAGCAATGTGTTTTCATAAAATATATCTGGTTGATCGCCTTTCCTTTTTTGATAAACAGTCTTATCTTACATAATATGACGTGATCATCACAACGATTTTTTCAATGATTTTTAGGTTACACAACTTTAAAAAATTCAATGATGTCGATCATAAAAATTGATCGATTGTTAAAATGAATTAAAATTTTAGTCGCTTGCTATCGAAAACCCTGATATTATTGTCTGACTATATAAGGAAAGTTTTGAAAATGGTTGTGAAAATGGGTTGCCGATCGGCAGTAGTAATATAAATAGGTCTTTAATTTCTTATTCAAAAAAAAAAGAATTATTTTTTTTTTTTAAAAAAAAAGATGTCAAAACATCGTGTAGCAATTATTGGAGCAGGAGCATCAGGGCTCACAAGTATTAAACAGTGCATTGATGATGGATTTGAACCAGTTTGTTTTGAAGAATCAGGGCAAACGGGGGGACTTTGGAAATATACAGAAATTGATGATAAAAATAACGACCCACATTCATCAATTTATAAAACTGTCATCATCAATACAAGTAAAGAGGTGATGACATTCACGGATTTTCCTGTTCCATATGAATGGCCATCATATTTGCATAATAAAGCGGTTGCAAAATATTTTGACATGTACTTGGAAAATTTTAATCTGTTACCATATATCAGATTAAATTCTCATGTGCAAAGAATTTCGATACGTGATAATAATCAGTGGACTGTAAATTATTTAAATGAAAATAAAGAAGAATGTGATGAAAATTTTGATTATGTTATGGTTTGTACCGGTCATCATAGATATCCTCGTCTTCCTAAATACGAAGGAATGGATGCATTTCCCGGAAAGCAAATGCATTCTCATTTTTATCGTCGGTATGTGATAACTTTTGAACTTTGTTTAAAAAATATTTTATTTTATAACAAAACTCTTTTTTTTTTAGTGCGAGTGACTTTGATAATAAACGAGTAATTGTTGTTGGGTGTGGTAATAGTGGTATGGATATTTCAGTTGAGTTATCTGGAATTGCATCACAAGTTTACTTGTGCGCACGTAGAGGAACGCTTCCTTGGATTTTGCCACGTCTCCTGTTTGGAAATATACCAATCGATCATCTACAAAGTCGAATCAATTTGTATATTCCATTATTTGTGAAAAATTTAATTCTAAAAATGATAACACGTATATCAGTTGGACCACATCCAAAAGGATTTAAACCAAAGTCAGAACCTACGGAAGGTCATCCTACTGTTAAAACTGAATTTCTTGAACGTGTACACACCGGTACAATTATATGTAAACCGAATATTAAGGAATTGAGAAAAGATAATTCAATCGAATTTGTTGATGGAAGTGTATTGGAAGATATTGATGTTATAATTTATGCTACAGGATATAATATTAAATTTGAATTTTTAGATAAAGAAATTGTTAATGGGAGTCAAGAAATAGGACAACAATTTGAAGAAGAATATCGTGAAAATTTAGTTTGGTTATATAAATATATTTTTCCTCCAAACATTCATAATATCGCTTTCATTGGTTTGGTTCAATCTATTGGCGCTCTTATGCCTGTCAGTGATATACAAGCTCAATATGTGACTAGTTTTTGGAAAGGTTTATTACCTAAAATACCATCACCTGCTGAAATGGATGCCGATATTAGAAGAAATCAAAGGGAAATCAGAAAACATTTTTACAGATCAGCGAGACATACTATTGAAGCCGAAATGTATCCTTATCTGGATGAATTAACTAAAGAAATTGGCAGTTTTCCTTCTCTAACTAAAATCTTAATGACATTTGGCCCAAGTTTATGGGGTCATGTTTTATTTGGTATACCAACTCCAATTCAAGTAAGTTTCTTAATATAATTTTAAATATTAAAAGCTCGATTTTAAAAATTTCATGACCTTTTCCAAAAATTTTAGTATCGCTTATTTGGAAGATTTTCTTGGAAAGGTGCCAGTCAAGCTATCACAAAATATAATGGAGGTAAATATTTGTAAATATAATTCGTTTTTCATCAAGGAAATTTATTAAAAAATTTTGGCCCCCCTTTTTTAGGACCTAATTATAAGCCAGCAATGATTATTTTTTGTGCTGCATTATATATTAGCTATCTAATAATTAAAATGACTATTTAAAGAGATTTTTTTAAATGGGATTTAATCTATTTATTTTTTTAGTGAATTTCTTGTTCAATACATTATTGGCACAAATTATCTCTATATGTATTAATAACACCTATTACTAACTCTGTGATCTCCGTTTTTTTTTCATGTTAATAAATTCCAAGCTTTTATGTTTATAACTTTCTCAATTTATTGTCTAACTTCCATAAATGCCAAAATTTCTCGTTACTTTATCGTTATGCATATGCATACATTAATTTAGCGAAGTTTATAATGCTATCTTTTCTTCACAACACGAAATGTTATATATATACTGGTCACTTCAAATTTTAATGATATGAGTTGATTGAGTATGTTCGCTAATAATATTTTTCTGGGCGATCACCATAATTTTCTTGCATAATTTGCATAATTTCACATAAAAAGGCAGTTGTATTTAAAATTTGAATAAATTACAAAATGTCATCAATTTTATTTCAAATCCTCATTTAATATCGCCGAAAATCTTTAAGTATTACATAATTGACACGTCCTGTATTTTCATCTCCTTCAATATTTTTCGCTTCCAATCGTGTGACTAGAACCAACAACACCACAACAATCTAAAATGTATTCACTATATATATTTTGTTTCTACTGACTAATGGATCAAAAGTTTTCAGTTTCTATGGTATTATCAATCATATCATAATAAGATGTTAAATAATTTTAAAAATCATCGGACAAATCCAGTGCCACAAAATAGGAAAAATAAACCAACTTTGATATTACCTATACATTTAGAGATTTATCCCTGGGAAAATTTTCTGGCTCTTTCTTTTTTGCCCCTTGTGGTATACATCTGAAAAGAATCTCAATATCTTACTTTCCCTAGTTCGAAAGATGATGTCATTACCCAATTCAAATCTACGAAGAACGTGTTCAAGCTTTTGAAAGTTTGAAAAACGTGCTTTATTTAACAAATGCTAAAAAATTTACATATGATAAACATGATGCTACATATATATCCTATTGGATATCAAATCTTATAGGAGACCTTTATTATCGATTACTTCAGTTAAATCATCCTCCTGTTTCTTAAAAAATAACCAAAGTCTTCATTTGTTGGATGAAACCTTTGGTATAAATTTGAATTAAAATCTGCCACAGTGATGTTAAATACATCGATCTTTCATATCAGAAAATTTTTTGATGTAAAGTATTCCGCAGATAATAAATACACTTCCGTAAATTTACGAAGTATTACGCATTTTCATTGAAGTAATTTAAAGGTTTATGGTTCCGTAATATTTACAAAGTGCTACAGTCGAAATACTTCATAGATATAAAAGCTCAGTAACCTTTGTTGTACTTCGGTCGCAGTACTTTGAAGATATTACAGCTTAGTAAATCTTCAGAGTACTTATATCGTAATACTTCACATTAAAGCAAGCATTAACGAAGTATTTCGTAAACCTACGGATTTCTAAATCTGAATAAATTAAATTAATTAATTTTTTGCAAAAATGTAAATAATAAAGAATTGAGTCTTTCATGGTATTCAAAGTAAACTTGCAGAGCATGCAAAAAATTACTATCTAACAAATTATTTTCAAGATATACAAATACTGTACTAAAAAATCTGAAGTATTATGTCTCAATAGTCTTCACATGTTTTGTAATAAAACTCTGTAAATACTACTACGCATAAAAAAATGTAGATTTGTAACATTTGTAACAGGATATAAAGTATTACATAATATATAGATCTATGCAATTATATTAAATAATTTGCTGATGCAAATACATAAAAAAGATTTCCCTTTCTCTTGAGAATATTTATCAACAAAAGTATGTTGTTCTTTACTGAAAAAGAAGTAAGTCTTTTAATTATAATATGAATGTGATTCTCATCACTTAATTATAAATACCTAGATAATCGTTAAAAATAGAAAAGATAACATATCTTATAGTTCATTCTTGATATTGGTTTTGGTATTAGAACTTTCTAGAATGTTGAAAATGATTTTAACCTTTCACAACTTAATTTTATTAATATTAAATTTAACAAATTGTTATGTATTATAAGTATCTTAAATGTACTAATAGATGAGTTTTTGTTAATCTTAATATCAAAACTTTGTTAAAACTCTGATCGCAAATAAACTATTAAGATAAGATAATATATAGTTATAATATATATATTAATGAAAGAAGTGAAAATTTATAAACAATTAACTTTAAATTACTAAACTTAAATTAAAGTCTAAAAATGTAATAATTGTAATAACATCCTTAATAAATATCATATTTATTATTAACGTTACAAAATGATATCAAGTTATTGATGTTTTTACACATACTTTTCATGTTAAAGCGATTGTAAAATATGTAAATAATACTAAATATAACATAAGTTTTACTTATAATAACGTACTTTAATTTATTTTATTATTTATTTTTTACTTTGTTTAACAAAACTGATCTATTTATTATATTTTTTAAAACTACTATAATATATATTGCTGATTATAGTACTTCTTAATAAAATATTCCCTTTAATAACTGATTTAATAATATATAAAATAAAGATTTTATATTTTTTTTTAATAAATCTTTAATATATTGAAAAAGGTTAAAAGAAAATAAGTTATATTAACCTTTAAAAAAATATTCAAAATAACTCTTATAAAATGTTATGTATCTTTTCTTTTAAAGATATTATTTAAGTTAAACTAATTTTTACTTAAATAAAACCAGATACTATAGTTAGCAATACTAAATAAAAATAATAATAATTTATTAGTTTATGAATATTATTTAAATATAATATTAAAAAAAATATTTAGATAATTTTTATAATAATAATTTCAATTTTTTTTATTTTTAAATTAAAAATATAATATTATATCAATTATTTATTGAAAGTTTAAAAATTAAATTATGAAAAGATTAAGAATTTTTGATTCTTTTATATCATGAATATTTGCTAAAAATAATATAAAAATAGATTTAAAATAAATAAAATTTTAAGTAAGAATAAATAATTCTATATATAATAATAATTAAAAATATTTACCTAAATTAATTTAAGGTAATTTTAAAATTAATGATATTACTTAAAATATTATAACTTAATAAAAGCAATTTTTAAAAAAAATAAGTTATATAACAAATGTAATTAATTAAATCAATTTAGAATAATAATAAATAATTTTAATAAAAATCCTTAAATTTTAATTTATATGAAAGACAATCAGTAGAAAAGAGAAAAATCCAAAATTTTTGTTAATTTTAATTATTAAGCTAATTTTGTACACATGACCAAAATCAGCCAAGTGATCCAATAATATAAATTTTGACCAAAATTTCGATTTCCCCCTTTTCTACTGATTGCCTTCCATATATTTAATTAAAATAAATTTAAATAAGTATTATTAATTTTATATAAAATTAAATAATATGTTTATTTATAAATATTTGTATTAATTATCAAATTTTTATTAAAAAAAAAAACAGTTTTAATATATTTACTTTTAAGATTCATATTAATAATAGTTCTTATATATAATTTATTAAATTAAAATTATTAAAACTTAATAGATATAATAAATATAGATATTAGTATATTTGTTTTAATTTTAAAAGATAACTTAAAAAAGAAAAAGTTTTATTTATATATATAACTGAATATTATTATATTTAGTTTTTAAGATTCTTATTATATTTTTTTTCAAAAAATGTTATTTTTAAAAAATTTATTAGAAAGTTTTGTAATATAATTATAAATATTTCAATATTTAAAAAAAAAATGATATTAAATTTATTTAAATATTACAGAATTTTAGAATTATATTTTTAAATTTGTAAATTACTGAATAATAAAATATCATATCTTATTACTTGTTTATAACAATTGTTTCCTTGTTTAACTATTTTTTATCTATACTATATAATAAGTATATTTTTATAATTCATCAAAATTATAATATTCCTTTATAATCTAATTTATCATTATCTTTTTTTCTTTTTAAGCTATTTTTATAAGCCAAGTTTTCATTTATCCAAAATATTTATAAGAATCTGAACTAATACAGTACTTTTAAAAGTATATTATTAGTAAATTCATTTATTTGATATATATTGAAAATGTAAAAAAAAGTATTTTATAGAGAAAAATATTTAAAGTTTTGTTTTATAAAAAAAAAAATATTTTTTTTTTATTTAAACAAAGATATATATTAGATGATAATATTAAAAGAAAAGAATTTAATTATTATACAAATAAATTTGCCTGCTTATTTACTATAAATTTTTCTTTAATTTACTTTTTTATAAATTAATATTTTTAAAAATTTTTTTTTTTAAATTAATTTTATAAATAACAAATTTTATCTTTTAATTATATAATAAAATTTAATGTTATTTAAAAGCTAAAAATTTGTAATTTTTATAAAAAAATTATATTAAAAATTTTCATGATTAATCTATAATAAACTTTTTAGAATTTACTTTTAACTATATTAATCATAATAGAATATTATAAAATTACTTATAAAGAAAAACTTTTAATATTATAATTTTTATAATTTATTAAGAAATTTTATGACTATAATTAATGATAAAGTGAAACTTAATTATAAAATTAAATTATTTTACAAACCTTTTAAAAAACTTAAAATTTATGTTAATAAAAGTTAATAAAGTATATATTCAACTATATTTTTTAAAGAAATTAACATTTTTTTTTTTTAATTTCACAAGCAAATTTGCCTGCTGGAATAGGTTTACAATAGATAAATTATACTATGCCTACTGTAAACGGATCTACAAAGTGATCTACATATAATTGATCTACAGAATTGATCTACATGTGCGACGCTGAAAATGTTGACATTGTTAATATAGTTAATATAATTGACATATTTGACATATTTGACACGTTATTTCTTTATTTTTCTAATTTATTTCTTCTTTCTTATATTTTTATCAATAAACTCTTTCTATTTTATCTTATACATTTCCTGAGTCCGTGTGACGTATCAACCTTCGTGAATTATAAATCTAAGCAACCATTGTGAATCTTTGTGATAAACTATAAACCTTAGTGATATACAGTCTTAGCGACAACTTTGTGAAACTATACAAGTCTTAGTGAAATTATTACATTAACTAAAAAGAGAAGAGTCATCACTCGAACACCCCGTCTAATTGTAGCGATCCACCAAAACCACATGTTAACACTACATTAAAATAATAAATAGGAAGATTGTTAGAAAATTATGATTCTGAAAATTTTTGATGTTAGAATGAAATGACAGATTTTAATTTTAATCAAAAAATTCGCAGAAACTGATTTTCCTAGCAACCTGTTATTCATCAATAAATCCCCAAATATTCACTTGAAAGCTTCGAAGCATCTTTCTCAACATTTCTGAAATATGTAATGTGCATTTAAATCTAAAATTCGATTAAATCTAACTAATTTATATTTGAGCTTGTAGTTACCTTAAATTGATTCTTTCAATTTTACTCGACCCCTCCCATTCTGTGAATCAATTTATAGAAAAAACAGTTTAATAATATATTAACAGTCATTCAGGAAAAGTAGTCCTGCGGATCTTACCCACGGACCCTACAATGTATGAATACGATTGATTGGTCTTTACCGTGTAGGAGACGAAGTCTCCAGCCACCTTAATATCGTAATTTGTTCGTATTTATTAAATTTTCTTGTTAACATGTTAATCCATTTTTTTTTGAGAATTCCATGAATTAAACAAAATAATCTTCAATATATTATAAATTTTCACAATGCAAGAAAAAAATTTTTATTATCACGACGCGTGAAAAGCACAATGGACATTTGATTTTATTGGTTATTCAAATACATGGTGGGAATGTGTAGAGCTTTAGGTCAATATTCATTGTATTTTTTTTTTTTTTTGATACTGCTTGATTTAGCTAAATGACGTGTGATATTTAAATAATTTGTTTTTAAAGAAATATATATAAGATTTAAGCTATTCCATGCAAAAATGTATTTGACAAAGCATCAGTCAATCGAGTCAATCAATAACCGTTCCACCTCCAAAAAAACCTTTAAATAATTAAATAATTATTCCTTAATTGTATTCATCTTATCCTTATAAGATTCTTTCTTTACACTCTTTTCACCACTTTTATTTCTATTATTAACGACGTTATAATTTCCAACTAATTTACCAGTCTTTACCCAACCTTCATAAGCTTGATATCTCCCTTTAGCTGCACCACTACTAACATATTGACTTGAACCAACCGCCTGTAATATAGCATATTTTCTAGGAATTTCAAGATAATCACCATATACTTTTTCATCTACTGAATCTACTTTCAAATCGGTTATTGGATTTGAAAGGTTGGCACGATGACAAAAATTTGCATAATGAGGATATTCCGAATTACTTGTTAATGAAGGATCTTTGTCTCCATTTGGTGTTGATGTTAAAGTCACATTCTTATTTTGATTTATATATCTAATAAAGGAGAGAGAGAGAAAGAGATTAATCTTATCGATTGAAGAATTTATAATTACAATATATAACTCGTTAACTTACTGTATGTATTCTTTGGCCTCATTTGACGATACGTTTGGGTTTAAACTTTTTGATACCATTGATTCCATAATAGATGATGGATGATCCTTTTTTGATACCGTCGATTCCATCGATGACGGATTATCCTTTCCTATTCCTATACTCGTCATTCCTTGATCTTTCTCTTTTTCTTCGATATCTTTTGGCTTGGTATTCGGTAAAGCAAGCCATTTTTTAACACCTCCGATATTCATTAATCTATTAATCAATCAACAAAATTATCATCAGTTCGACAGATTTTAATTACTTTTGTAGGAAGACTTACCTCGTGGCCTGTTGGGTTACACGAACCGTAAATGGGCTATAATCATAAGCTCCAAGCTCAGCACTGTAAATAATAATATGAAATATTCATTAACAGAAATTGCCATCAAATAAAAAACGAAACTAGCGAAAGTATGAATAGAATATACATTGCAGGTATATATTTCGTTGTGCTATTCATGTTGTATGCGAATAGTTTTTCAAATGAAGTAAACAATCGTGGACGATAATATTCGATCCAATATCCGGAATATGGGTCTGTCTCGTCATCAAATTGATGATCTAATCGTGAGACAGGTTGATATTTTGTGATATCGGCTTGCTCATCTTTTGGCTCAAGAACATCTTTTGTCCACCAATTTATATAGCTTCAATCAAAAAGTTTGTTAAATAATAAATAAATAAACTAAAAAAAAAAATCGCGCAAAACATCGTTTTACCTTCTTGGTGGTCTTTTAAAACGTGGATCCTCATTATGCAAATAATAATCATTTGGTAATTCCCATAAATTTGGAAGTCCTTTCTGTGGAAAAAAGTTTCCAAGGAAAAGATTCATTGCATCCTGCTTTTCAGCATCTACACAATTCAACAACAGCATAAATGCTTAATTTTATTATTGACCATACAAGCTTATATGAAATTACACATACCAGCAAATGCATTGTTATAATATCTTCTTAGATTCTCAATCAAATCTCTAGAGTGACTTGTCCATTGATTTATTTTACGATATGAATCAATTGTATTAACCAAATTTGATCCACCATACTGCAACGCAATGGTATCACCGTGGTCATGGTACATATCTGTTAACATGTTCACGACATCGGAATCTACTGGGACTTGAGGCTCATCGATAATTCCCAGGGCATATAACTATAATTTACAACAAAAAAATGTTGATAAAAATACCAACAAAAGTCTTTACAATAGTTTCAAAAAAAGTTCAAGTACTTGATGTCCTAAAGCACATTTTCCAATTATTAGCTGTGCGGCGTTTGTACGATCCAGACAATCAATGCAATTTGTCCTAACAACCCCACTTTGGCGAAGAAACATTCTTCGTGTTTGAGGCTTTCCATTTCTAAAATTAAAATGGATGTTAACCGAAAGCTCCTTCAGATCCCGCTGCAAAAGGTAATTTCTTTCTTTCTTTTTTTTGTAATACATACTTCTCTTCTCTTTTTAAAACATTTATCCATGCCTCTGGCCCACTATGGAAAAATCCAGTGTCTGCCAAATATTCTTCGGCGAAACCTTCCATCAAATCTACAACATCATCGTCACTGCGGATTAAAAATTTCCAATGAATAATACTCTTTTTCATTTTTTAAAAAAAGGAATAAAAAGAAAAAGAAAACAATTTACCCCTTTCTGGCTTTTGACATATCCCATGCGATATACTTTAGACATTTGTCTGGTAAGAATTGACTTAAATAAGCCATAGTCTCTGAAAATTCATCTCCTAAAATTCCCTCACGAGGATTTTTTTCCTTTGTCTATAATTCAAAAGCGAAACTATTGATATTTCGTATAGGAATATATAAATACACTTGAGAAGACAATACCTACCTTAATCAAATTCAAGACAATTATGGGCGCTCCATATCGTTTAAACATATTATCAAAATGCAATGCCGCAGCAGCAAAGAAGGGATCTCGAAAGTTTACTATGATAAAATAAATTTAAAATTTTTAATAAATAACACTTTAAAGAATAGGAAAACAAAAAAAAACTTACTGGCTATTGGCGGTTTTGGAGACATATTTGTTACGTCTTGTGACCAAAATAAAGGTATCGATCCACGATGTTGAACATAGGAAGAATAATACGGGTTATCATAGAGACCGGATCGATGAAAAGAAGTTGTGCTCATTTCCGATACGATTTGCTCTGTTTCAACATCATTGGCAACATACCCCTTAACAATTCAATCCAATCGTATAAAAAAATTATGCGTGAATAATGTGTACATATATATGACTTGTACAATAAATCATTTCACACGTGAAAAATATTTACCTGATCATTAACACCACGTTTTAAGAAACGAGCCCCGGCAAAATAACGAGACCTTCGTGCAATCAAAGTTACGAAAATATTTCGTCCAAAAATTGATATTTCTAATCATTAATAAAGAAAATTCAACACTTTAAAAAAGAACTTTTTATTAAAAAAGATAATATTATTATATTTAATATTAATATTTCTAATTTTAATTATGCTCACTTGACTGATCCACGAATCCGTGTATAATCGGAAGAATCCAATCCGAATTATTTTTTAAAATTCTGAATCCTGTTTCTAATAAATAATGATTCCAAACAAACATTTCGTTGTACGAAAAATTCTTACGATTTGGTGTATGTGTCATATTATGCTGTAACGTGTGTGTAATATCATATGTATAACTAAAATAAAAATTCTTCGTCAAGTCCACATTATTGAAAATATTATTATATCTGTTAAATATTTTTTTTTTTTAAAAAAAGAGAAATTTCTATTTGTTAAAAATCGACTTGTTATAAAAATAAAATCCTAACTTGAATCAATTACCTGTATTCATCTGAATTCTTTTCAGGCCTCGTTGGTGGCCCAATGGGTCTAAGAATTGTTTCATCAATATGATAAATATAATGACCTCCTATCAAGGCAACAGCGCTTCTCTTTGTAATTAATGAAATGTAGTATCCTTCAGTAAATTTAATAAATCCTGTTATAAATAAAGTAGAAAAAGGTAAGTTATCATTTAATATATAACAGGGCGCTTCGTATTTTCCCCAGAGTGACACACCTACAATCCCATACGCCATTACGACTTTGTTTAATCCTCCTGAGACTCTATTTCCTTCCTCAAGAACTGTCAGAATATCAGTTATTTCTTGTTTAGAATAGATAACATCATCCTCAATCACGGTAAGTTCTGTAGGTGTCGTTCGATCGATTTTTAATATCCGGAATCTGTTATCACTTTGATTAGATCCCACCATATAATAATTCTTTTATGTTAAAAGCGAAAGAATCGATAAATTGATCATTCTAATTAACTCAAAAAAAATCCCCCCTCCCATAAAAATTTAATGACAAAATGTTATGTACCGTCTTAGTCTCATATAATATAAATTTATTCAAAACTAATCGATCAACTTTGTTTGCATCTTCAAGGTCAAAAGATCCAATAGCTGGTGGCGCAGATAATCGGTTTATAAACGATGATTTCATGCTCACTTTTGCAAGATTGGCATATGAAAATCGCTGATTTGCAACATCCACGGATGACATGTTCACTTCTTCTATGCGGCTTCTTATAAATTTACTTATATTTCACACCCAAAAGAAACTTTAAATATTTAAATATGAAATCATGTAACGTAACCAACTTATATTAATTTAATTTAAATTAATCATGATAAATTTTCAAAACTTACATATTTTACAGATAACAATCGAAATAGCTACAAAAATTAAAAAGTCGAATACTAATATATATTTCAATATGTTACACAAAGGTGAAATCTAAACATAAGCATGTGATTAGGATCCGATCCATCCGATCTCGATATCTCGATCCGGTCTTTATCGATCTGGGGGTGAAGAACGTCTCCAAATGGCGATCTTAAAGACCGGATCGGTCTTATAATAAAATGAAAAAAATTATTATTATTATTATTATTGAAAATAAATTTTATTCTTAGATGATCGATCCAAGTGTTTTTTCCAATATTTTAATATTGATTTAATTAGCAAACGTTCCTATAAATGCAATCTAATATCTTCTTGGATTTGATTTAATGATGATGAAAGAAGATTAGTTACTTTATATACTTATATTCTGTTATAACATTATTTTATGATTCTCAAATTTTTCAAAAAGTTTTCACACATCTGAAAAAACAAGTTGGTTGGAATAGGTTGACCAAAACTGGATCTTTATTTCTGAAAAAAATACAAAAAGTTAAGAAGTTCATTGATCAAGCATTAAAAAGTTTTGATCTCTATAATTAATAACTTTTTACTGATCATTATTCAGACTCCAGAGTATAATGTAATGTTACATATTTCATTTATCAATTTTTTAGTAAAGTTGGAATTGATTAACATAAACTATTTGAATCGCAGTTTAAACTCTAACTAATATAATAGGATAAGTTAATTTAACTTATATTTTAAACCATATCAGAAATCATTACAAATACATATAATAAAGATTTTTTTCATAATATCATATTGATTACACAGTAATATTTAATTATGGCCCTTTGCTGATTCCCAAAAATCAATTATATTTTCATTAAATTGACTATATGTATTATTATCAAAAGGATATATTTCTCTTTGATAAGATAAATATTTATGTAAAATACTAATATGTATAGCCTAAATTTAACGAAAATTTTTATTTTTTTTATTTTTTGAATAACTTAATATAAACTGTATACAGCTTAGTTTTTGATTAGGATTCTAAAGAAGGTTTGAAATGCCATTTTTTTTAGAAAATTAATTATTTACAAATAACATAAAAAGTCAAAAATTGCATTTAAAATTATCTTTTTTGTTCTAAGAGCAGGTCAAAAAATCATATTATCAATTTAGGAAATGATCGACAATATGATCGCCGATAGATTTATCATGTGATTTACATCTAACAACCAACAAATACAATAAATTTTTTTTTTTAAAACACTTTTTTTGACAATATTAAAGAATGAATAGTGAAGTAATAAATCCATTACCATATGAACAGCAACCGAATCACCCTTCACCGAACGTTAAAGAAGAAACTCAACTTGATGATCTTGACCAAAGTGAATACACTGAAGAAGAAGAGATAAAAGTATTATGTTCAAGCTCAATGCCTGTTTATTCGACACTTGAAATTCCGGTCGATTCTACAATACCCAAAACACCAGTGGATAAGAATGAGGAATTTACAATAAGCAAAGCATTAGTAGTCAAGAATGAAGATATACCCAAAGTACCTGTGGTTAAGAATGAATGTTCTATACCCAAAACGCCAGTGGATAAGAATGAGGATTTTACAATAAGCATAGCACTAGTAGATAAGAATGAAGATTCTACAATACCCAAGGCACCAGTTAAGACTGAGGATTTTGCAATTAGCATAGATAAGAATGAAGATTCTACAATGCTAGTAGATAATAACGAAAATCCCCAATCACCGGTAGATTCTACAAAGACGGAAAAGTAAATACTTAGAAACTTGTTTTAACTTATATCAAACATTAATCATAATTAATTTATTTATTTACATTAGCTTAGATTCTGATTCTGACTCTGATTCTAGTATCTCTGATTTTGAAATGGAGGAGATTGATGATTTTGAACAAGCCATGATATCTGTGGATCAAGTATTTTATGAGGAAGAAATGGGTTTAGGTTCAGAACCTTTACGGACAAAAAACGAGATTACTGATATAATAATCACTAAACCTATATTGGAAATAAAACCTGATATGCATTTAACAGAAATTGGCTTAATACTTCATGTAGTTAAAGACCAAGTGGTTGTTAAAGCTAGCGTTACTGGTGAATGTAACATTTTGGATGTGGGAACCGTTTTAGTTCTAGAAAATAGGGAACTTCTTGGTGAAGTAAATAATATTTCAAATTACAAGTTTTTTTGTAATCTGGATGATTTTACCTTTATTTATTTCATCAATTATAAATTTTCAATTTATTTTTACCAATAGATTTTTGAGACGATAGGTCCAGTAACTCATCCAATGTATGTGGTTCGTTTTAATGACTCATCCGAAATCAACAAGGAGAAAGTTATAAAAGATGCAAAAGTGTTCAGAGTTGATGAATTGTCACATTTTGTATTTATTGGGGAGATTTCTGTACACAAAGGATGCGATGCGAGTAATTTATATGACGAAGAAGTTAATGAGGAGGTGTAGTAATTTTTTTTTGTTTGTTTTGATGATAATGCTGGTTCAAACTAACCAATTTTAAATCCCGTTATAGGAAATAGAATTTTCTGATGATGAGAAAGAAAAATTATATAAAGAAATGCAAAAGCGTAAAATGAAGGAGTAAATAATTTATTTAGCTAAACTTTTAGTTTCATGTTAAAAATGTATATATAAATATCTATTTAATAAATTTCTTATTAGTAGTTCAACTACAACCAACCGTGGAAGCAGAGGAAACAGAGGAAATAGAAGAAACAAAGGAAGAGGCAGAGGAAACAGAGGAGCCCACCATCACCCATACCTACCTCGAAACGATCAAGAACAGAACGTTACGGTGAATAGTACGGTGGATAGAGTGGATAGTGACTTTGATTATAACATCTTAACCCGACCTCCCGGATAAGTAAGGAAGATTAAGAAAGCCATCAGGTAAATTTTTAAGCAACTGACTAAATAATTAACTGATTTTACTATATATTCGATTAAGCTTAACCATGGTTTTAGTATTTTCTATTTTAGTGGTGTTGTCAGTGCAGATTTCGCCTAATAATATGTTAGATTTCTTGTATAATGTCTAGTTTCCCGCTTATGAGCATATGCTCAATAGTACAAAAAGTAATATTTATTATTTTTTGTTTTGAAGAATGAACCAGTAAACTAATATTTAAACTTTGTTCTTGGGCTTCAAATTTTACGTTAACTATTTGGTGAGATTTATAATTAAAATTAAAAATGAATATATTAATTATATCACATTATCACACATACTGTGTTATGATAGTATAAATATGAAAAATAATAATCATTAATTATAGTATTCAAGTAAAATAGTTTATTTGCGCTGGTAATGTGATACTGCGCCTCTGTAAATATATATTTTTCTGATAAATTGTGCAAATTATTAAAGATTTTAAAAAGTATAAAGGAATTTTATTTAATCATATAACATTAAAAAAAAATACATTGGTCTGTAAAACAACGTTTTTTTTTAATTAAAAATGGTTTGTAGTTGAGATTTTTTACCTAGCAATTTCGGGATTTTTAACCACTGACTGGTATCACGTAGTCTTGTTATGACGCACGATACTGCGCCTAACATAATTGACGAATGGTAATCTTGACGATCACGATTCTCAACTTTCTACCGTTTCTCTGATTTCTCTAAATTCACTAATTTTTTAGCGATCTCTAATTTCACATATTTCTTTAATATATTTAATTTCTTTATTTTCTTATATTTCTTATATTTCTTTACTATCTTAAATATTTATTTCATATTGATATATTTTATATAAATATCTTGAATGATTCTGAAATAATGGGCACCACTATCAAATTTCGTATTCAACAGTTGCAAAAAAAGGAGTGGTTACACCAATCTCCTCTCGTCTTTTGGCTGTATAATAATGCTACCAATTTCAAAAACTGGCTTTCGTGTCTTCTTTGCGATTGGAAACATTTGGACCTTTCGTTCAGTCTGAATGATTTTTATCCTAATCTCATACTCAGATGGATAACTCCCATCTCGTCATTTATACCACACAAATATAGAGGAATTGTGAAGGATTTATGATGTTATTCATTACTCTTCATGAAGCAACTAGTTAACTCAAACGGTAATCAGATGTTAACATTTCATGACTATTGTGTATGGCTGGACGTTATACATTCGACAAAACATTCTAAATGGTTTAATACCTTACAAATAGCACTTCTTTCAAACAGTTTTTCTAGAGAGACTGTCTCATCCTTCCTCATATCATTTCCTTGAGTTACAATTTCCTACCACCTGTCAAAAATAAAAACAAAAATGTATTCGTCTTGAGTTGGCATATGGGTGACAATAAACCATTTGTAGGATAACTGTTAAAAGTCAATCTAGATCAAGTGCATGTGATGCATTTCATTCCTATGATTGGACTCAATCAAAAAACTTTGTTTGATGAATGCTCTAGATGCTTATATTATGATTCATTAGCCTATTTTTCCAAATGTTTTAGTGTGAAAAGAAAAAAGACTTGCTGTTTCTTCTCTATTCCTTCAGATTTGTATTTTCAGATTCTAGTATATCAAAACAAATTAGAACTTGTTCCATACTGTCTGTGGTCTCTTATTCTGATTAATGATCTTGCATTTGCTAAATTTGTAAAGTTTAATAGACCTAATACTACAATCGTTAATCATTCTTACATCTCTCTTTTATCTCCTTCATTCATAGAATCGTTCATACCACATCATCATACACAACAATTATTATCACTTCGTGATCAATTTATTTCATCCAATTATTTAGAATTTTACATTGATGGTTCTCTTGTCAATTTAGGTACACCTTCCTTACGAATGGGTTTGACTTGAATCCAAACTGCACCAGTTTCTCCTTTGCTTTCTTTGCGTCAGCACTTATGACATCATCCCATTCTCATCTGTCGCTGAACTCACTGCTATCTTTATCACAATTTTAGTACTCCTCATAACTGCCAAATTAAAATTTTACAGATTCTCTGGTGGTGATCCCACAATGCAATAAATACAAAATGCTTTTAGCTATTTCACAATCATGAAGACCTTTTCTCAAAATTAGTAATGTGCATATTTGGCATTGCTTCTTTAAAATTATTGACGCATTCTCATTATCAATTACCATGCACAAAATCAAAGCTCACTCTGGCGACATATTCAATGAGAAAGTGAATGCATTAGCAAAGAATGCACTTAATTTACAGGCTCTTCACCTAATTCCCTTTGACCAATCATATTCTTCATTTAATTTTTATCAAATGATAATTGCAATACCCATCCAATCAGAACATGCAAAATCTTTATCAGAAATTCCAACCGACACAGTACTCTAACTATAAGGCTCCACCTAAAAAAATGAGAGGCGCAGTTAATTCGGACATTACATTTGCACATGTCACTAAACTACCATCAACCACGAACAACAATCAACAACCCGCCTACTGAGAAATAATAATAATAACAACAATCCTAATATCAACAATAATAACCAAAACAAACCACCTTCACATTCTGAAAACAAATGCGATCCACAATCTAGTTCATAGTCTGATGACGTTCCACCGAATATGAACGAAAAAATCCTTTTTGATAACACTATCTGCCTTACGTCTAATGGCACAGTTTATAAAGGTACCAAAGCAGGTGGATCAATGCATGCTAACAATGATGACGATTTCAAAGAATACGTCAAATCCCAATTTAATAATCTTAATAAAAATTTGAGCATCCTTATGAGCACTTTAGCGTTTACAATTAAAAGAGTTGAATCTGTTGAACAATCGCTCAATATCAAGGTCATCACTCCAGTAGAAGCTGATGTACAAAATCTTAATGCCGGTGATATGGAAGAGGAGGTGGAATCTTCTATCGATTCATCAGCATCTACCATTCTTAAACAATAAAAGACCATTAAAGGTCTTAGAAATATTAATGCGATACACCAAAACCGCCTCAAGTCCTTCACCATGACGGTTAATACTCTAGTCCAGTGATGTGCATTTTATGCTTCCAATGGTAAAAAATTTGATTGGAAGCTTCCAATCCAAATAATTTTATTAATAAATTGTGCTTCCAAACCTTCCAAAGGTGCTTCCAATAGTGCTTCCAATCTTCCAAGTGCACATCACTGCTCTAGTCCAATCATACGCTGCTTTTCAAAACATACTTTTGAAAAATAATTTGCTCCCCCAAGAATAGGCCAATAATATCTTCCCACTTGGTATAACATTCGATACTGATATTGAACGTTATATCAAAGACCTCCCTTAGTATTAAATTTTTAATGAACACTGTCCCTACTGATAATAATGCACAAGATGCATCAATTCCTAATACAACTCCTTTAATTCAATCTCCTTCTCCTTTTTTATCTTTCGTATCCCATAATATTCGCAGCTTCAACAATACCGCTAAATAATACTCCCTTATTGAACAATATCTTTCATTAAATGTAGATGCCATTGGTCTATAAGAAACTAATTTCCTCCAACCACATATTCGACTATTTAATATAGAACACTCATCTAACTTCGTAGGTTTTTTCAATTCAAAATCATCCTCTAACAGAACTGGTTTTGGCATAGGCATCTTATTACGACCATCACTGGCCAATCATGTTTTCTCTCACAAACATTTCTTAAATCGAATTATTTATGTTGACCTTCAGTTTACAAACAGACAAAAATTACGATTCATCAATTGCTACCTGCCTCCATCCGACATCGCAATTAGAATGTTGGTTCAAAAAGAATTAGTAAAATTGATCAATAACGCTATTTCTAAGGATTTCCACATTATATTAACTGGGGATTTCAACGCCAATATGGACTGAGACAAGAATCCAAAGGATGCAAAAGAATTTTTCTCATTGCTTCAAAATTTGCATTTGTTCGACGCATGTATATTGAAATACAGTAATGATAAGGTCAAGTATCCAACTTTTAAATCAACGATTTCAACTTCTCACATTGACTTTGTTTGGATTTCTGCGGAATGTGCCTTTAACTTTAATACTTGTAATACCATATTGGTGTTACCGCAAATTTCTGATCATTCAATCGTGACTTATGCTATTGACAATTACCTCAAATTCAAGAACAACAAACGAAATATTCTGAAAAGATGATATACGATTATGATAAGATGACTGATGAACTCTAGAAGGAATACAAAGATAAAATGGATGCCCTTACCAACAGTTGTGAATTGCATCTATTAAAATTCAATTCAAATCTTAACCAGACCAAACTTAATTTTTACTGGGACTTGTTGCAAGCTTGTATAATCAAAGCTGCTGATAACGTTATTCCGTCTCATAAATTATCTGGACAACACAAATTAAAGAAACCTCCTCTGTTAACTAAACCTTATAAAAATCTTAGATTCTTATATAAGTTTAATAAGAAAATCAAGACGGCTTGCAAGTCTGATAAGTTACCTGAGGATTGGTTCACAATCTACAACATATTCCTTGAGATCTCTAATATTTTCGGATATCATCTAATAGCGTTATCTCCAACACTGAGCATTTGTTTTCTGACCTCATTGTTCCCTTGTGTTAAAATTTTACTCAATTGCCTGCTAATTAAGACCAAATTACATGAGCAAGAATTCAAATTGGCATCAATATAACAAGCAATAGAAAGCAGGTTGGACAATTATGCAGCCGCTCCTTCTAGAATGATTGATTCAGTACTTAATCAGTCACGAAAGACAATTGTTCTAGATAGATGTCTTGACAATACATCTGGATCACGTGATCTTCTAACAGACGAAATGCTTGTCAAAAACAGAGTTAACCAACATTTTCAATTAGCTGCTGGCACTTCTCATGAAAACATGAATATCCCTGATGATTGAATTTCATTTTATAAACCACTA